AAGGTGGATTTTTAAGAAGCTGGACTGGTTGGGTTCTAAAGTTCCAATATTAATGTTTAAATAAATTAAAAGATAAACCTTTACATGTGCAGATTTACGTTTGACAGTTTTATTCGAATTTGTATGACAGTTCATCATTCACAGAATATATTTATATCTATTGACTTGTTTCTCAAGTTCCACTGCCTATAAACCATATATATTATCTTTAATCATGAGCACTCCACTCAAACCTGCTTTTTTTGAACAATTCAGGAATTCAAATTTTTAATTTAAAATAATAGGTAAAGTAAAATTATCATCTATAAGTAATTACTTTTAGATTAAAAGTGGTTAGAAGTCAGTTTCACAAAGTATAGTGCTTGACTTTTGTCTAATTTAAAAAAAAGCTAAGAAAAATTATTCCCTTGTTTTTTCTCTTCTATATTTCTTCATAACTTTAAGGCATAACTTTATGACATACTATCTAAAAGTTAGGGTTAGACCTTTAAAAAATACTTGACAAGCCAAATACATGAATGTTTGAGTCAGAGCTAAGATGTAAATTCTTAAAGTAAAACTAAATGGAATAAGAAATCTGTTTAAATTAATGTTATTTTTATGTAGTAATTATAAATATAAACACATGCTGCTTTTTTTAGAGGGATTGAAATTTTTAACTGTTCCTCTTTCTTTTGTTTAGGGAGCACCAAATTCAGTTAACCCCCAAGGAAATGCAACGCCAAACCCTCAGGTAGTATGTTTTGTGTGTGTGGTGATTTAAAATAAAACTTTATATAAAGCAATAGCAACAACATATAACAACTTGCATGTCTCCAAAAACTAAAAATAATTCCATCTGTAAGATATAACATTACGTTGTATAGCACTTTAATGTAGAAACTCACTTGGAATATTTTAATCTCCTTTAGGAGGGAGAAAACCAAGATGACTTTATTCCTCACTTTGGCTAATGAATCAGTGAGGGAATCAAAATGACAGATTTTGAACTATGAGGGCAGGGAGCAAACATTCCGTAGCCAAAGGCTGTACAGACACATGGCTCATTTCTATTCCAGTTGGCTGAAGGGCTAAACCAGTTTTTCTAACAGACTTACACAAAGTTGTTTTCACAAAGTTGTTTCCTTTTTACCCTTGCTCTTTCTTCCTCGGCATGAATATATTTAAGTCTCCTTAGACAGATAGCTTACAAATTCTTCTAGATCTCCTTGCTAACTGCCTCAGAGAAAGCCTCAATTATGTACTCATGGTTTCCTTCTTGTCTCCGAGGTGGTAGGGTCTGACAACATTCTTTTTTAAAAAGTTATATTTTTTTATTGTTGACATTATTACATACTAGAGGCCTGGTGCACAAAAATTTGTGCACGGGGGCGGGGGGGGTCCCCTCAGCCCGGCCTGTGCCCTCTCACAGTCTGGGACCCCTTGGGGGATGACCATCTGCTGGCTGAGGCCTGCTCCCCAGGGTATTGGACCTAAGCTGGCAATCAGACATCCCTCTGGCAGCCCGGCAGCCCTTGGGGGATGTCCACTTGCCAGTGGGAGCAGGCCTAAGCTGCAGTTGGACATCCTTAGCGCTGCTGAGGAGGCGGGAGAGGCTCCCACCACCACTGTGCTGGCAGCCATCAGCCTGGCTTGTGGCTGAGCAGAGCTCCCCCTGTGGAAGCGCACTGACCACCAGGGAGCAGCTCCTGAGTTGAGTGTCTTCCTCCTGGTGGTCAGTGCACATCATAGTGACTGGTCGTTCCACTGTTTGGTCAATTTGCATATCACCTTTTTAATATATAGGATAATAATTGAAGTAGGAGTATCCCTTTATTAGAGCAAGAATCACATTGCAGGAAAAGAGACTCAAGGATTTGGAGTCGGGCAGAGCTGACCTCAGGGTTTTGCTTCTCCAGTGGCATGCCCTGTCACTCTGGGCC